TTGGGTGCCTATAAAGATGTAGTCCTGAAGGTGAGCTTACCAGCACCCCTCCAAGGGGATGACGATTGTGAGGAGGCTGTCAGTACCCCGTGATTGTCATTGAAACTCATTCTGTGTGTCAGCCTTCCTGTGGCTCACCAGCAGGGCCATGGGTGTGTGGGAGGAAGATACATGGCATGTGGGTGCATATGGAATTCTGTGAGGTCCCCAGCCGCTGGGGGCTGCACAGACCACCTGTCGGCATGCTGCTGCCTTCCAGGACTGGTCCCTTGTCTGGGCGGAGCTCACCCCCACTTGGCTCTCTCGGGACTTGCTCAAGTGTCTCCTCCTGCGGGAAGCCCTCCTGGGCTCCTCCTGGCAAGGAGACTGGCACTGAGGGGTGCTGACCAAAGTTCCTGCCCAGCCCCTACATGCCCAGCATGGGGAGAGAGCAGAAGTGCCACCGCTGAAAAGAACCAAAAGTTAAAGCAGTAAAACCAGATTTTATTCAGGACCTAATGCAATAGGGGAAAAGAGACCTCAGAATAGCACTGGACCAAAATCCGGTTTCAGCAAGGGACAAGTGAGGATTTACAGCCAAGGAGCAGGGTTGGGAGAAGTTGGTGGATGGAAATTGACTAAGATGGAAGAAACATCAGGGGTAGGGGGATTCTGGTTAAACAGACCCAACAGGATTCTTGCTGAAGGCAGGCTGGGGGTGATCAGATGTCACGGGGGTGTGTGGGGGCACAAGTGGGGGAAGGGAGAGAGAGAGGGAAACACAGAATCCAAAGCAGGCTCCAGGTTCCAAGCTGTCACCACAGAGCCCGAAGTGGGGCTCAAACTCACAAACCTCAAGGTCATGACCTGAGCCACAGTCGGATGCTTAACTGACTGCACCACCCAGGTGCCCCTGGATTAGTGTCCTTATAAAAGGGTCTTCAGAGAGCTCCCTCACCCCTTCCACTGAAGAAGGTCACAGCCAGAGTGCCAGCTATGAACTAGGAAGCAGGTTCTCATCAGACACTGAACCTGCTAACGCCTTGATCTTGGGCTCCCCCATCTCCAGAACTGTGAGAAATCAATGCTTGTTGTTTCAGTGCCCCCTCACCCCCAACCAGTCTGTGGTATCTTTGTTATAACAGCTTAAATAGACTAAGACACTTCGTGGACCCCTGCAGTGGCCCCCACCCATCCTGGTAAATCATGACCCACCTCTGCCTGCCGCCTTTGGTGGCTGCTTGCCTCCATGAGGACCTTACTGAGGTCTGAGTCTCCAGCCACAGGATGGCCCTGATTCCTCCACTGGCCCCAAACTCTCCACCTCCACTTGCTCAGATCAGGTCTCTCTGCCCCATGGGCTCCTGGCTTCTGGCCGTCTTTCAGGCGTGGCTGAAATGCCACCTGTCCCACCTTGGCTTCCCCCAGTACCTGGCCGTGGCTGCAGGCTGCATCTCTTGCTGATGACTTCCTCTCCTCTGCGCCTGGAGGCTCGGCGTCCCTGACTGCTGTCCCCTGAGACCAGTGCAGGCCCCCTGCTGCAGGAGAAGCTCAAGCTGAGGCTAGCCCGACGTGTCTGGGAGGGGCTGCGGCTCCCCCTGCGCCCAGCTCACCTCCGCCAGCCCCTTCCCCGTGCCCTCCGGGGAAAGAGCTGCTGACAGTAGGTCAGTCGCTGGTTGCGCTGAGCAGCAACGTCCAGTTTGGGTCTCTGCTGTTCTTGTTCCTGCTCTTTCAGGGTGCCCGTGCCCAGGCAGGCCTTTCCCCTGAGACGTACTGCCAACCACCTCTCCTCTCTTTGCTTCCAGCTTGTAAGCAGCTGGGAGGGCGGACCGGCCCCTGATCCAGGCCTGCTTGCTCTCCTGCTCCCCTCACCTCTCCCTGAAGGTGACTCATGTTGGCAGAGGCCTCTACTGGCACTGGGTCCCTTCATCTGAGGTTCCTCCTATTCCCCGTCCACCAGCTGCCTCTTGCAGACAACTGGCAGGCATATGCAGACCCCGGCCCATCTTACAAAAAATGGCACCAAATCCCTTTTGATCCCCAATTACCTCTAACATGGAATACTGCCACCTTGTTTGCATTTATACTTGTTATGACAGGGTTCTCTGTCACCACCATGGAGGATTGCAATTCTGAGTTCTGAGAACCCCTGTGGTAAATTCAAATATCCCTAAATGGCTTCTCTGGGTGGGTGGGGACAGTCCCTTAGTGGAGTCTGGGTACCATATAAGCTCTTGCTGGTCCCCATCACTGCTCGTCTCTCTCCCCACTCAGCCCTGGCACCTCCCATCAGCTTCCATGCCTCAATCCGTGGCCCTAACTCTTGGGGACTGTTGAGCCAGGGGCCCAGGTGAAGGCTCTGCCTCCTTGCCCTTCCCACCACCTAGCCGGCAGGGCCTGAGTGCTTCAGAGAACAGGTGTGAGCACAGGGCCCTGAACTCGGCGGCAGGTGTCAGGGTGTGTGAGGGAACATCCCATCAGGAATCCCCGCTGAGGATAAGAGAAAAGCAGGGATCAGACTGTTGGCCTCAGAGCAGGCGTGCCACTGAGGCCCTGAGAACCCACAGGAAGAGGTGACCAGAGAAGGCCAATGGCCAGGACTTGACCAGAACTGTGAGTTCGTAAAACCCAAGCAGCTTTCAAACATCACTGCGTGATGGAGTAAAGGAGAGAGGAGAGGGGAGTCAAGGCTGGCGCCTGGGTCTCTGGCTCTCCAGCACCCATGTGAAGAGAGGCCTGCCTCGCAGGGGTCCTGCCCTACTGTGTGCCTGAGTTCCATGCCTACGGGCCCTGGGGTAGCCACCTCCAAACTCCGGCAGCTCTGGGCTTAGATGGCAGGAAAGGTCAAGGCCAGGTGACTTCAGGACATGAGAGTCCCCAGTGTAACCTGTATGGGACAGCCGAACACTGCTCCTGAGTATGCACAAAGGTGACCCTGCAGAGGCGTGGCCGGTCTGAGGCAGCTGGCAAGGCCCACACCGGAGCACCCAGTCTGGATCCTCGGAGAGCTAAGCTGGAAGGAACCAGGTCAGGCGAGATCCTAAGAGTAGGGGATTCTATTTATTCAACAGCGGGCCGTCTACCTGAGCACACCTTGCTTCTGAAGCTGCAGGTGTGGGGCAGAGGGGGCGTACCCTGGGGAGTGTCCCAAGCCTAACTTTGGCCTCAGACACGCCGACTGGGTGGTGGACTTCAGGGCCTTTGTGTGGCTGTACCACTTGGTGTCCTGGGCCAGACAAGCTTTGGGGGACTGTACCCATTACAGGGCAAGAGGAAGGAGAGGCTCCCGAGGGTGGGGAGGAGAGAGAGCCTCAGAGAGGGGAGGAAATAGAGAGTCCCCCCCAGGGGTGGGGGACAGCAGGGACTCAGGCAGAGCCTGCTGAGTGGGGACAGTCTGGTGAACTCCAGGCCTTTGCAAATCTCTTCAGAGAAGGGAGGGGAAGAAATCAAGTCTTGGTTTAGTCATCAGGTGGGGACAGGCCAGGAAGAGTCTGAGCAGATGCTAAGATGCTACAGGGGCCCTGCCTGACAAGGGGGGGGGGTGTCTAAGGCAGGGATTGAGCTATTGCTCCTGTTTAACCCCCACCCCCATATGCTTTCCACCTAGCTTTAGGCATTGGGCTGTGGCTGCAGCCCCAGGGCCCCCCTTGAACCCCCACAGTACAAGTGGATTTGACCAATGGGCAGTGCTGGTGGGAAGGGTGGGGAGGGCAAGGCTGGGGTATGCTCACCCCTCCACACATCTGCTGCTCCCACTGGGAGATCCCATCTGCACTTTCTCCAGCTCCCCCCGGGGCTGCGGGGACGACATCCTTCCCTGCCCCACCCATTCAGGTCCAGGTGCCAGTCTCTGGGGCCTCCATTCCTGCTGATCCCCTTTACCTGAGGGGAAGGAGCGGGGCCACACCATTCCCCACTGGGGGTTTGGAGCCAGGCTGAAAAGGGCCTGGACTTCTGTGGGCCCAAGATCTCAGACCCCAGCCTTGCCCCTGGGGATGGATGCAGACAGGTTTTGGGGAGGACTGCAGGTGGACCCTGAGTCCAACGGCCTCAGCTCCTCACAGCTCCTACAGCCGCCTTTGGTTTGTACCTCCCTCTGCTTGGAGGACCCTTCCGTTCTCAGAGGCAGGCGCTCCTCGCGGTGCTGATTACAAGTCCTTCCATGTGAAGGCTCCAATCCGAGGACTGTGACGCATTCATACAGCTGCCGCTGCCCACCGCACCTTCAGTCCTCACCCTCACCCATTCTGGATAAAACCCCCACGTTTAGCGGCGCTGGTCCTACAGGCACCAGTGGTCCCGCAAGCAGTGCCCGTGGGCAGCGGCCACCCGAGCCTCCTGCTACAGTCACACTTGTCCACCACCTGCAAGGGAGCGCCTTGTCTGGCGTCCTGGCACGCCGCCAGATGGATGCTTCCACCAGGCTCCTTCGTAGGTCATCGCCTACCTCCAGGTCTCAGGACCTGGAGAGGGTCCCAAGGCTGGGGTGGGCTTACCTCCAGTCTGGCACTCAGGAGGCACTCCCCAAATCTTGGTTGAATTAGGAATCCTAACTGGGCTTGGGGAGGGGACGGGCTCGCAGGTGAGAGGAATGTCACGGGTGACTGCGGGGAGAGGGCGGGGTTGGGGCCAGGGTCTCGGAGTTGGGGGTCATGGGGTGTCTGGGGGTGGGGTCGGGGTCTCGCGTCCGGGCAGGGGGCGCTGAGGTTCCCAGGCAAAGGGCGCTGGGGTGTCTAGGGGGTGGGATCGGGGTTTCGGGGTAGGAGGCGCTGGAGTTCCCCAAGGGTGGGGCTGCGGTCCCCAGGGATTGGGTCGGAGTCGCGGGACAATGGCACCGGGGTCCCCAGCGGTAGCGTCGGGCTCCAGGGCTCAGAGCGCCCTCCCGCGCACGAGGAGCGCTTTCTTTCACTCCACGCACGCCCCCTCTGGGAGCCGCGCTCGACCCCGCGTGACCGGAAGTGGCCCCCCGTGGGCGCGGGCGGGGCGGGGCCCGGCGGCAGCACTTCCGGTGCCCACGCGCCGCCGCCGCGCAGCTCCGGGGCCGTCACTTTGTGTAGCGCGGGGCGCGCAGGCCCGGCCCGGCCCCGGCGTCCGGCGGCGGCTCTGCCCGCCCGGCGCGCGCGCGGTGAGTGGGCGGCGGTGGGGGCGGCGGCGCGGGCAGCAGGTGCGGGCGGCGGGCGCGGGGGCCGGGGCGGGGGGTCGGGCCGCCCCTCCACGCCGGCACGGGGAGGCCGCGGGGCTGGCGGGGCCTGGCCTGGGCCTGGTGGGGCCGAGCGGCGCGCCGGCAGGGCCCTTGGCGGCCGCGCCCACGCCCGGCGCGGCCCGCGAACCCCCGCCCCGGCCGCGCGCGATGGGGGCGGGCTCCGACCCCCGGGACGGGTAGAGGCCGGCAGCGCGGAGCAGGCGGGGCTAGGGAGGACACGCGCGGACTCCTCGGGAGGTGCCCGCCGCCGGCTAGGCCCCAGGGCCGGGGGTTGGGCCGTGGCCGCCCCCGGGGACACACCCATCCAAGAGGGGCTGTCACCGCCTGGGCGTCTGCGGGAGACCCAAGCCCGATAAGCTCCCCAGAGGCATGTAAGTGGCTTGGCCTGGCGCCCCAGGAGCTTGCTTCGTGACCTTGGGGGCCTCGTCTGGGTCCTCCCTCTCTGCAAATGGAGGCTCCGGTGGGCTGCTATGCCGTCTTCTACTGCTGGTGGTCTGGTAGGCGAACTAATCCCTGGGCTTGGACAGGGTCTGGGCTGCCCCATGTGGCCGCAGGGGTGGGAGAGAGGCTGGCCTTTGGGAGAGAACTAGTGGGTAGGGGGAAGGGGAGGTGTGCAGAAGGATCAGGCCTCTAGTTGCACCTGTGCGGGGACACCTTGGTACTTGGTTTGGTTCAACAAGTGTTGGCAGGTCTGGGGAGCCGGCCAGCATAGTGAAGAGCTGGCCTGGGGGAGCTAGGGGAGTAGCCCCATGGGTATGCCTGCACCAGGAGCAAATCCTGGAGAGTAGGTCATCTGGATCCATGGACACACAGTGAGGATCTTAGTAGTCAAGGAAAGAAGGCTTCTTGAAGGAGGCAAAAAAGTGGAAGGAATAACAAGAGTGTGAACAGTAAGGTCACCTAGCGGAAAGGAAGGGGTCTAGATATATACATACCCACACGTTTCTTCTTCTCTATGTAGGCTCCTTGGATTTGGGGCTTCTGTGGAGAGTTCCAACAGTTTCCAAACTTTGCTGCTGCTTTATGTTCTCATGGAGGATGTCTTATCCTCAGTTCAAAGTGTCTGCAGTGCTGCATCCTAGGGTGCAGGGCCCCAAGAGAAGTAAGGGTCTGGGATGCCCTGGGGATTTATGTTGATGAGGCTGCTTACCTGACCCTCTGTGGCTTCTGACCTGGGATCAGATGCCAGGAATTGGGCAGTGTGAGTTTCAGTGGGCTGAGGGTTGGGCAGAGAAGAGAGGAGAGCATGTGGGTCTGGGGGAGTGTGCCCAGCCCCCAGCTGCCTGGCGAAGCAGAAGGAACCTGGTGCCTGAGTGACAGAAGTCTGTTCCCTAGAATGATTCTGTTCTGGATTCTGAGTTGGGGTATGTGGGGTGTCCTGTGCTAGGCTGTGGTTCCATCTGCAGAATGACTGCTGACCTCTCCCTTCTCTGGTCACTAGCAGGTGCATTTTGGAGGAAAAGGGACGTCAGGTCACAGCCTCTTTGAAGGCAGAGATTCTGTTGTGCTTCTGGGATGAGTTCCATTTTGAAGGATCCAGAAGAGCGGTCAGTCTGTTCTGGAATGTGGCAGTGGGGCCAGAATACTGAGAGTTTTGTTTTTAGTGACTCTGTGCCCTATGTAGGGCTTGAGCTCACAACCCCGAGATTAAGAGTCGCATGCTCTACTGACTGAGCCAGCCAGGTGTCCCCGAGTTTTTAAAATCTCATGTTATCATGTTGATTACAGACTTTAGAGTCATTTCCTTAATAAATATTTGAGTGTTCACTCTGTGCCTGGCACGGGGCGGGGGGTGGGGGGAGGTTCAGAGATGAGCAGAGGGAACTTCGCCTTCCTGCAGCGGACTGTGTGCTTGGGGAGACGGGCACTAAGCAAACAGTTCCGTAAGTATATAAGAATGAGGTGCTGTGAGGGCAGAGTTCAGAGAACTGTGTGAAACAGGGGGCCCAGGAGGCTACCTCCAGAGGATCAGTGAAGAGGGGAAGCTAGTTCCGGGGAAAGGGAATCACATGTGCAGAGGTCCGGAGGTGGGACCAGCATGGGGCCACTTTATTCCAAAGCCCTGGGGTTTTCTTTTGTGAGTGGGTCCTTGGCTACGGCAGACTGGCCTGTGGGAGTCTGCTCTGGACGGTGGCCAGGCAGGAGACAGCTCTGCTGGGCTTGGTGTGGCGTCTGGGCTTAGCCTGGATTTGTAGCCCCAGGCCTGGGTGAGAAAAGCCCTCCTCTGGCCCTGAGGTGGGTGGTGGTTGGGAAACCTTTGCGGAGCACTCTCAGTGCCCTGAGTGCCGGTTAGGGCTGCACCTTCCTAGAAGTGGCTGGCGTTATCCACGGCACGCGTGTTTCTACACCTGGGCACCTTCACATGCCCAGAGAGCCAGGGAGACCCAGGAGGTGGGCTTTCAGGAGCAGCTGGGGGCTGGGGTGGCCTGTAGAGGCATGGCTCTTCACCTGTGAGCTTGGATTCAGTGTCTGGGAATCCGCAGTCTGGTTGGTTAGAGGGGAGCCTGAGGGGCAGGACCAAGGTAGCCTCTGGGTGCCTGTGCATCCCAGCCTTTGGACCCGGGCCTTGGTCTCTGGAAGGCTTTCACGGCTGCGCCAAGGCGCCTAGCTCTGGAAGTGTGGATGGAAGCAGCAGCGGCAGCTTGGAGCAGAGCAGAGAGCTGTGTACTGCCTTTTTAATAGAAAAGCGCTGAGTTGTGGAATAAGGGCTAATCACTGAGCAGTTTTCCCATGGGTACCCTGTGTTCCGAGCTGTTCTGGTGACCGTGCACGTCTCTATGTGGGGCGCCCCTGTCCCGTGGGAGGGGCTGACATGTGCAGAGGTCCGGCGGTGGGACCAGCAGATGCTGTCCACTGCTAGAGCCCAAGGAGCTGTGCAGGGCCCACCTGCCCCACATGGCTGCCATTGCGGGAGCCTTCTGGCAGTCCTGCTCTCATCTCAGGATGCTGTGTCGCTGCATTTGTAGTTGGTTTGGATCACTTCAGAAGCGGGCTGTTAGGTCTGAGACGCGGCTGGGGCTGGGTGGTAGGCTCCTTCTCAAGTTTTCACTCAAAAAGGAGCCCCAGAAACTGACTTGTCAAAACCGTGACTCTGTCCTGCCCTTGGGTCTCCAGGGAGGCTGGGGGAGGGCGCCCACCTGGTAGGGAGGCAGGGCCCCTGAGCCTGTCCCCTCCATCCTCCGAGTCCCCTGCCCCCGGGTCTGGGCTGAGCAGCCGGCTCTCTTTCTCCTGAGCACCTGGGCTGAGCCAGCTGTGACACTGGCGTGAGTAGCAGCCTGGAAGCCACCGAGCCTTTGACAGTTCTCTCCTGGGATTCTCTGATCCTTAAACTGGGAGAGATGTCACAGGGCATTTTGACTGTCTTTGCTGGTCCAGCAATGAAGCAAATCTTCATGATACGCTGCACTTTTTCCAAACGGCCTGCACGGAATGAGGGGCCAGGGAGCTGCAGAGGGTAGCATGTACCCAGGACCTCCTGTGTGGCGCCTCTGGCAAGCAGGAACCTGATCTGCTGGCCTTCCAGGCAGTGGCGAATGAGCCTGCCAGTCTTACCTTTCACCCCTGCCCGTGCCCAGGCCTCTCCTTCCACACCTGTGCCAGCAGAGTGGGGGGTGTGCAGAGGCGGGTCCCCTGGATGTAGGCAGGCTGTTCCTCACAGGCCGTACTCGCCCCTTGCAGCCAAAGGTGGGCCACCCTCAGCCATGTGGCCTGGACCCCCTGCTTCCCATGGGCCCTGAGGATAAAGACCTAGGCTAAATCCCTGATTTACTCCAAGAAAGCACAGCAGTTCATACCCTGTACGTAATTGCTGGCAAGAAAGAGCTAAGGCTGCATAATGGGGTCACAGAGAGGGGCTCTGTGGTTAGGTTTTCTGGGTACAGAACATCCCACTTGTGCCACGTGAGAGCATGGGAAGAGCCTCGGTCCTTCCTTGACGCAGGAGCCATTACCATCTAGTGGGGGAGATACCATGTGCCTCCCCAAGGGCGGGGGGAGGCCCGAGGAGCAGCTCGTGGGAGCAGCCGGGGGGTGGGGGGCTCATCCCCGCTGCCTGTCTGTGTTTCAGGCTGAGTGGAGGCTCTCCTCCAGAGAGGATGGCAGCCCTTCGTACGACCCCGGACTCACCTGCCACGCAGCTGGCGAAGGCCGAGGATGGGCTGGAATGTGGTCCTGCTCAGGAGGAAGAAGAGGAAGAAGAAAAGGGGGAAGAGGTGGAGATGGAGGAGGAGGAGGAGGAAGAGATCATAGTGGAGGACGAGGAGGATCAGGCGGTGGTGGAGGAGGAAGAGGAGGAGGGGGAGCAGGCAGGGCATGTGGAGCAGGTGGAGGTGGAGGAGGACGAGGACGTGGAGGAGGTGGTGGCAGAGGAGCAGAGTCTTACGTTGGGGACCCAGGAACGCCTTAGCCGCGGTGGTGATGCTAAGTCCTCAGTTCTTCAGGAAAAGGGTAAGAAAAAGGAGCTGGCATTGGGGGAGGGGGGGAGGGGGCTGGGGAGGGCAGGTTTGGAGAGCTCTTCTTCGGCCCCACAGGGTGGAGCTGGAGCATTAGGACCCAGGGTTTGAAACAGAGGAACAGGGGTGGGGGGAGGGAGTCTCCTGACCCTGCTTGCTGTCTGGGCAAGGTGGCCGTGAGGCCTGTGGGTGAGGGCGGGCCCTTAAGAGATCCTCCCCTCAGCCTTGCAGGCCACCAGGGTTCGAGCCACACCTAGGGGTGAGGGCCTGGAAGAGGAGGAAGAGGACGAGGAGGAGGACGAGGAGGACGAGGAGGAGGAAGATGATGACGATTCCCTGACAGCTGGGTCTCAGGTGAGCTGCTCTCACCATTGGGAGTTAACTGGGCAGGGTTTTAGGAGGGGGCAACTTGGCATTTGCTGTCCCTGTTGAGAGCCCTGTTGGCAAGGCAGGGGCACTGTGGTCGCCAGGGCGAGCTCAGCCTGTGAGCAGGAAGTGTCTGGGGGTCTCTAGCCCCAAGCCCATGGGGGTGTGGTTCCAATTTCCTGGGGCCCGAGACTTCCCCGGCCATTGGGGTGTCCTGAGTGTGCTGATTGCCACGTGCTCAGCTGCACTGTGCGTTGGTATTTCTGAGGACTGGCTCTGCCCCGGGTGTGGGCTGTGGCCCCTCACCTGGAGTGCCGCTCGCCTGGCCAGGTTCCGGTTTCCTGCCGAGCCCAGTCACCTTAGTCAATGCCACTTACCCACCCAGGCATGGGCCCTCACGTTGCTAATGCAACTACTGGCTTAGGCTGGACAGGGACATCGGAGGGGAGGCCACAGCCTCTTAGCATGGCCAGGGACTTGAGCTTTGTTGTCTCCTGGGCTCAGTGTGAATCTCGGCTCCCCTCTGTATGAGCTGAGTGTCCACCCTCTTTGAGCCTGGGTTCCTCACCTCTGAATGGAACTGGGGTCCTTGCCTTCTCGGGCTGCAGCCAGACTCCGAAGCCCTCAGTGCTGTTGGGCCTTTGCAGGCCTGTCGGTAATGGGCCACTGGGCTGTGTCCCCATGAGCTCCATATTGCAGGTCCACGGGCAGTTCTTCCTGAAGTAATTGTCTGTTGTTCTTTCCAGGGGCTCCCTTGCCTCTCTGCCAGGGCAGCTCAGGGCAGTGGCCAGGGCTCTTTGTCTTCCAGGGACTGGTGACCTTCGAGGATGTGGCTGTGTACTTCTCGCTGGAGGAGTGGGAGAGGCTGGATGCAGGCGAGCGGGACCTTTACAAGGATGTCATGCAGGAGAACTATGGGATCCTGGTGTCCTTGGGTAAGCAGGTCGCCTTCCATCCTCAAGAGGCCTTCTTATGTGATGGCTGCTAGCAGCTTAGTTGTTTGAGAGGGTGGCTTCTGAAACCCCAGGGTCTAGGAGAAGGGGGTCCTGAGCTAGCCCACCTCCTGAGGGGGGTCCTGTGGACCATTCTGACTTCTGGGTGGGGCCGTGCTCTGGAGTCCCTGCTGTGGCCCAGTGGTGCCTTGAGCCAAGTGAGGGTGTCTTGTGGCCACCGGTCTCTCCCAGAGCTGTGGTCTCGGCTTTATATACTCCCCAGAGGCCTCCAGGGGCGAGGAGTCAGGTGACAGGGGAGAGAGGTGGGCATGCCACTGAGGAAGGTGTTGTGGGGAGGGGAGTCTCCGCAGGAAAGCTGGGGAATATCATGGCAGAGCTCTACAGAAGTGAAGGTGGGCTTTCCCAGAGTGGAGGCCAGGAGGTTGGAGGGCTGGTCCTCGGAAGGCTGGAGAAGAGGGGAGAGAGTGAGTGGGGAGCGGCTGGGATGTTGGGGTGGCCCTGTGTGGCGCGAGGGCGGGCCTGCGCAGAGCGGCCCTGCAGCTGCTGGCTGTCCTTCTCCCGGCCAGGATACCCAATCCCCAAGCCGGATCTGATCTTCCGGCTGGAACAAGGGGAGGAACCCTGGGTTCCAGATAGCCCCCGTCCTGAGGAAGGAGACATTGTCACTGGCGTCTACACAGGTGAGTATGAGATGGATTCTCCTGTGGTTTCGGCCTCCATAGCCCCTCAGAGTTGCCGGACCTTGGCCTTCACCTTAGCTCTCTGCTGCAGTTTTGGTGCTGGTGGTCTGGGATGTGGAGTGGGTGCGCGGAGACAGGGAGGCTGCCGTGTGCCAGCCTCTGCCTTTGTGGGTTGCCTTCCATTCCAGCCCTTGGTCGTCCGAGGCTGGGGAGTCCTGACAGAACCTCGAGCTTCCTCTTAGGAGCCTTTCACAACGTCTCTGTCCCTGCCTGGGAACCTCTCTGGTTTTGGGTGTTCTTGGGTAAGTGAGGGCTACTTGTTAAGTCTTCGGCTCTGAGGGACAGGAGGTGGCCACATGTGGTCCTGACTGTGAGGGGTGAGTTAGGCTCCGTGTCTCAGGGTTCCCTGGGGGTCCTTGCACGGCAGGAGTATCCAGTTCTGGGCTGGAGCGATGTCACCTTAGGGAGGGGCACTGGATGGCTCCTGCCAGTCACGTGCCTGGATAGACTCAGAGTAGCTCATAGACGTGTTTCCAAATAAAAACACAGAAAACCGCCGACCATGCTAGGCCTGCGCGTGTACTCCTCGTGGTGTTTTCCCCTTCACTGTGTCCTTCCGCAACCCCGGGACCTGGCAGGGCAGAGACCAGCCTCCCTTTGCAGATGAGGAAATTGGCCTCGAACATGGTGATTAAGAGCCCAAGGTGGGCTCAGGCCCCAGGCCCCACTGTCCCCGGTGTTGTAGAATGGCCTTCCTGCCCCAGCTGTCCACGCTCCCTGGGACAGGTCTGGGACCTGTTCCTGGGTAGTGGACTGGGGAGGGCTCGAGCTGGTGACACTATGGCAGTTACACCCAGGCTGAGGCTTGGATGTGCGTGATGATTCCCAGGGGGTCTTAGTGGGGGGGGGGAGGGCGTTTAGTGGCATGTCTCAGAAAAGCCACCTGCAGGTAAAGGGGCCACACGCCTCATCACGTGGTCTAGATGTGGCCCCATTGTCCATGCTTCTTGGAGGGTCCCGGGGTGCAGCCTTGTGCCCCACAAGGTGACCTGTGACCCTGGGTGGGTGTGGCAGCTCCCTGAGGAGGCTGGCTAGCTGGGCCACTGCCCCTCTGTCCTCCCCAGCGGCAGTGGTCGTTGTGCCAGGGCCCGTGAGCCTGGAGTGCTCCCCTACCCTGCCCCACTTGTCTGGGGAGCCTGAGCTAGGGGCAGGACCAGGCACATAGTCTTGGACATGGCCCTGTGCTGGGGTGGGGTTGGGAATCTGGTAGCCAGGGCTGGGGTCAGCCTGGGTGGGCTAAATCCGCCTAAGGTCCTTCTCAGCTAGAACTGAAGTCTGTTTGCTAGATGGCCTCCTTCCCTTTCCTTTCTGTACTCACTTCTGAGCACCCGAGTCCGTTGAGAACTGAGGGTCACTGTGCCTGAGGGTACAGATGCTGACTCTTCTGAGCCCAGCAGTTTCTGGATTTCCACATTGTAGTCTGGCGAGACACAAGTGTATTCCTCTCTTGTGTTTCTTGAATGCTGGGGCCTAGAGGTCTGGCACATTCTCCACCTTCTCACACTCAGGCGCCCCGTGACCCGTCCAGTGCTGACTTGATGCCTGTGCTCTGGCGTTGCCCTGTGGTCACCACCTCCAGCTCATGGGTGCCCGCTCTCCTCACCTCTTTTGAGCCCACCCACTTTCCTGTGCCTTTCTTTTCACCCAGCTTAGATGGCGTCTCTCCCTCTGCGAGTGCCCCGTGTAGTCACCTGGCAGACCGCTGCCCCTGGCGGCACCCCCTTCCTGCGCATGCGTGCACTGGAGCGGGGATGGTGGCTGGAGAGCAGCATACCTGCGGGCTGAGCACAGCCCTCCTGCGGCCGCCGCCACCGCCTGGCCTGCCAGGCCGGCCTGGGGTCCTTGCGGGGCCGGCTTCTCTGTTCTGAGATACGGACCCTCTTGGCCTCAGGAGCCCACATGCCTCGGGGCTCTCAGCTGCCTTTCTGGCTGCTTCTCCATCTGCCCTCGCTTGTCTGCGAAACCAGGACGGTCCTGCGTCCTTTTCTGTCCTCTCTAGGTGGCGGGGCCAGAGCTTCCGGTACCATTCCTATCTCTGCGGCTCATCCTCAGCTTCTTTCTCCAGCCCTGACCTTGTCTGCCTGACATCTCCATTCAGTTATCTGATGAGCATCTCACAGTGAACCCCTCCCCCCGCAGCGTGAAGTGGCGCCGCTTGTCCCACCCCAGGCCCCTCATGCAGCGTCCTGGGCACCCGACTGGGCCTGGCTGCCTGTTCGAGTGGTCCCTGTCCCATGCTGCCGTGAGGCCGTCAGGTACAGGTGTTCCTGAGTTGCCATCTGCCTTACTCTTCAGAAACGTCCCCGTGCTCTTGGCACAGCATCTGGGCTCTCCGCTGGGGCCTTGGGGCCTGCTGCCCTGCCAGACCCATCTCACACACCCTTAGCTCCCCGGGCCCAGCTCCACAGACAGCCCTTCTCTTCAGGCTCTCGCGTGCCTCAGTGCCTCCTGTTTCCCCTGCCCAGAGTGCCCTTTGTGTGGCTGGCTCAGCTCTTAGGTGCCTACTGAATCGCGTGTTCTCTGACCACACAGCGTTCAGGAGCACCCCCTCCTGTATCCCTCCAGGACGTGTCCTGACTTACAGCAAACAGCGCCGTCTGAAATGGTCCTGGCTGCATGTTTGCTTCCTCATTTCCTGCCTGCTGCCTCTGGCAGGCTCCATGAGGGCTGGCACTGTGTATTGTCCACCCTGTGCTGTCTCCACGGTACCCGGCGGGCCTGGCACCCCACGGGGCCGGCTGCTGGTCCCCCTCCTTGGCTGCTGTTCCTGCCCCTCACGTGAAAGTGAAAGACGAGTACAGCGTGCAGGGCTGAACCTGCCTAAAGATGACACAGGAAAGGATAGAGATAACATTTAAAAGCAGTAAGAGGTACAACACTAAGGCGGGTGACTCCCACAATGGGTGAGCGCAGGCAGCGTCTTTGGAGAGGAGAGACGCAGAGCACCTGTGGAGCCGAGGCACAATCCTGGTGCCAGCCTGCAGGTGGTGTCCACCTCACACAGCCTATGAGCACCTGTCTGTCCTCTGGAGAACTGGGGTAGGGGGTGCCTGTCCTCAGTGTGGGCCTTCCCTTTGTCACACCTCCGAGGGGACCTGGGATGTCACCGAATCCCCCTTTTTGGTCTGAGCCATGGAGAAGGCACTTAGGTCCTATCTTGCCTCAGACCCCGGGGCTCAGTGTGGGCAGAAGGGGAAGGAGCCCGGCCGCAAACTCCTGCTAATAACTGGTCCTTGGTACTATAGCTCACAGTATAGAGGAGGAGATTGAGGCCAGCGATGGGGGGTGGGGGGTGGTGGGCTGTGTCCTCATGGGAGGACAGATCCCAGCTCAGAAACCTGGCCTTGTGGGAGCTGCCACCTCCCCCACACTTAAGCATAGGCCTGATTACTGAATTCCTGCTCAGGGGGCAGGCAGGACAGCTGACCAGCAGCCCTGGAGGAGGGAGCCACCCGCAGCTTTGGGCACACCAGCCCTTGTCCACGTTCTCCTCTGATAACTGTCCCCAGGTGGGGGGCCCTCCCCAAACCCACCTTGAGTCCCCGGGTCTAGAGGGAGAGTCAGGGGCAGGTGATGACTTTACTCAAGGGTCCCAGCAGAGAGGTGTTTAGTCAGAGCAGACCCAGGGCCGACTTACCGTGGGGCCGGGCCTGGGGGCAGGCCACTGGGTCCCTGGACAGGGCAGAGGCTGCTTGGGGGCAGGAGTCCTAGAAAATGGTGGCACCGTTCCCTGGGCGTCTTGTCGGTCACGCTGAGCAGCTCAGGGGTGCAGGGCACCAGGTGTGTGGCCCAGAGGCCCTCACCTTCCCCAAGGCCCTCCGATTAGGGCCTGGGTAGGGTACTTCCTGGAAGTTCCTTGGGGGCTCTGCTGAGGAGGCCACTGGTCAGCCCCTGGGATCATCACTGGGCTCCAAGGGCTGGTTCCAGCCTAGCTTATCACCCAGGGGCACACTCCTTAGGTGCAAATGTCTCCAGGAGATCAAACACCAGCTTCCACTCAGGGTCTTCCCCTCTACCCTCCCTCTGTGGGTTCTGGAAGAAGCAACCGTGCTTAACCCCGTAGGCCACTGTTGCACATGTCCTGTCACCCTCTCTGTCAGAGCATCCTCTCTGCCCTGGCTCTTGTCTCACAAGTAGACCTGGCAGGTGCTCAGTTGGATCCAGCAACCCCCCTGGGAACCCTGTCCCCATTGCAGCCCAGAATGACCCTTACATGGGACACCCCCATTCCAGGGCTCACTTTGGTGACAGGAGGACCAGGAAACAAAGCCCAGTCTCGGGGCAGGCTGCTCTTCCTCTGGGTCCCTCCAGTGGCCCACGCCTTCCAGAGGTCCTGTCTCGGGCTGCAGCCGGCTCTGACCGCCCAGGGACGTGGCTGCCCTTACCGTCCCTTACTTGGTGTCAGTGGTGCTCTCCACCACCTGGCTGCGTGTTGAGTGTCCTCTCGTTCTCGGATGAGTGGCGGTGCCAGCTCCAGGGCTAGTGACCAGGTCCCCCAGGTCCCTCCTATGATCACGGTCTCTGCAGTGCCTTGTTCAGAGAAGCTCGAGGTGCACCCCCTGGGGTGCATAGCAGAAACGTTCTGCTGCTCCTGGACCCCAAGGAAGAGGTGTGGTGGGGGAGTCACTGGGACCTGGCCCACCCCTTCCAGTTCTAAGTGGCTGAGGTCGCCTGTTGGTGAGCCCTCATTTGGCCTCAGTGGCTGCTTTGGATCCAGCAAGTGCTGCCCTGGGTCTAGGTCCCATGCACCCCGCTGAGACATCACACTTGTTCCTCAGCTTGAACTCCCCCCTGCCTTAGGGAGTCTATCATTCAAACTACTCAAGACCCTTGCCAGAGTCTTGAGGTAAAATTCCTTCTGAGACTCAGGGAAAGAATTTCCAAGTGATCTCAGCTCACCTGCCTGACCCTTCCACGGACAATCCGATCTCGTAAGGGCGCTGCAGCCGCGCAGTGAGGAGCGGGTACTGCTCTGTGCTGTTGAGGGCACCGGCCACTCCACAGCACCCCCTCATGGCTCTGGGTGGCATCTGGAGGCAAACTGAGCTTAGTTCAGGGAACTTTTGTCTCTTATTTTAAAGCTTATTTTTACTACAACAGTATATTACTAACTGTAGAAAACCTAAAGGATTGCCAATTATGAAAAAATAAAATAACCCATCTCTGTATCCCTTTACATGATGCGTGGTTTTTTTTCACAGCTGAAATCATGCCTGTGTCTGGCTTTATTTCACTCTGCGCTGTGCTGGGTTTGCCCGCGTGACCATCTCACCATACATGTAGAGTGGCATACAGAAATACAGAACAAGGACTGAGCCGGGGTGGGCAGCCGTCCGGGGCCCCGACCTTCCCTGGGGGGCAGGACTCGTGATCTGACTCATCCAGCCAGGTGATGGCTGGCACTGGCCACAGTTTTGGTGGTGGACCCAGGTGGAGTAGAAGAAGAGATTACCAGCCTCGGAGTCTGACCCTTCCAGATGCTAGGATTCTGACCTGGGCTACAGCATGGGGTGCAGCCACTGTGGACATTCATGAGGCAAAGTATACATGAGAAAGTAGGCACACAGGTACTTTGGAACACCGGGGGCCACCGTGGGTCAGGCTTTTCCCTTCTGCTCCTGGTGATGTCGTGCCTGCTCCATAAGTGTTAGTTCCCTCCCAGGTGTATCACAATGGCAGGTATATCAGGACTCCATTATGTAAACCAGAAAACTCTACAGGCCTGAGTCCATAATCATCCTCTGCACTGAAGGGAGAGGTCGAGGTGCAGTTTGGTGGAGGAGGTACAGAACTGCAGGACCTTGGGGGTGTCCTTGGCCTTCTGTGATAAAGTGTTTGCAGTTCATCCAGTCTTAGCCAACTGGGGACTGTTTCCCAGATGCACAGCCACTCAGAGAATGGTTCCCCAGCTTTGGGGAGGCTGAGCAGGGGAGCGTGGGCTATACCTGAACAGTTGCTGGTGGCTGTTAGTATGAGTTTAGAGAGCTGGGTCTCCTTCACTCAAGGTAGCTTTTCTGGTTCTGCCCTTGAGTGTGGGTGCGAGACCTGTGGCTGCTGGCCAGCCTGAGGCTGGTGAAGAACTCAGAGGGGGAAGGGACGCCAGGCAAAGCTTATTAGGTGCTTAGGAGGGCAGGTTCTCAGCGTCAGGGGCCTGGGGCTGTGCTGGCACCACAGTCTTGCTTGCCTTGGGCCAAGCAAGGGTGGGGGTGGAATTCTCTAGAACACAAGGGGCTTTGGGGAAAACAACTCGGGAATCTGTTTTTCTAAACACAGGCCCCCTGTCATGTTCTCACAGGAACCTGCAGGCAAGGTCACCAACTTTGTAGAGCATCCCTGTTCCTGAGCAAGGGCATTAGTTGATGCCATTTGAGAACAGTCCAAGAAGTGAAGGAATCACGGCTTCCCTAGGAGGGACACCCACGGGGGAAGTGGTGGCTTTACTGAAATGGAGGCACCCTGTCCCAGATCGGGGATGGAGGCTCAGTGCGAGGGGAGCTTGGGGTCCCGCCCAACGCGCGATTTCTCAGGGGGAGGAGCCTGCAAGGAGCTGCCTCTCACCTCTTCTGGCCTTTGTCCCCTTCAGGGGCCTGGTTCTGGACCGACGATATCGAGGACCACGAGGAGGAGGACGACGAGGACTTCCTGGCGGAGGTGGCCGAGGAGGAGAACGAGCCCCCGGGGCTCTGGTCAGCGGCCTACGGCGTGGGGGACGTGCCTGGGACTTGGGGCCCCGATGACTCGGATTCAGCACAGACTCCGGAGGGGTGGGGTCCCGACCCTGGGGGTCTCGGGGTCCTGGCTGAGGGGTCCGAGGCGAAGCCCTTCCTGCCGGGCCGGGAGCCTGGCGCGAACCTGCTGGCACCCTGGGCCTTCCCTGCTACTGTGGCCACTCCAGTAGGGCGGCCCGAGACCACGTGCGACGTTTGCGGCAAAGTGTTCCCGCACCGGTCCCGGCTGGCCAAGCACCAGCGCTACCACGCGGCCGTCAAGCCCTTCGGCTGCGACGAGTGCGGTAAGGGCTTCGTGTACCGCTCGCACCTGGCCATCCACCAGCGCACGCACACCGGCGAGAAGCCCTTCCCGTGCCCGGACTGCGGCAAGCGCTTCGTCTACAAGTCGCACCTGGTCACGCACAGGCGCATCCACACTGGCGAGCGGCCCTACCGCTGCGCCTTCTGCGGTGCGGGCTTCGGGCGCCGCTCCTACCTGGTCACGCACCAGCGCACGCACACCGGCGAGCGGCCCTACCCGTGCCCGCACTGCGGTCGCAGCTTCAGCCAGAGCTCGGCGCTCGCTAGGCACCAGGCGGTGCACACGGCCGACCGGCCGCACTGCTGCCCCGACTGCGGCCAGGCCTTCCGCCTGCGCGCCGACTTCCAGCGCCACCGGCGCGGCGGCGGTTGCACGGAGCCCGGCGGCGACGGCACTCGGCGGGAGGTCTGCGACACGGTCCCTGCGGCGGTGCCCGAGGAGGCCGAGGCCGGGCCGGAGGGGCCGGAGGAGGCCGAGGCGGACGGAGAGGCCGAGGTGGAGACCAGAGAGGAGGCGGCGGCGGTGGCGCCCACCCCCGGGAGCAAGGAGGACCCTGAGCCGGACAGGCGGTTCCTCGAGCTGGGCAACGGCCTTGGGGAGGGCGAAGGCCCTTCCTCGCACCCACTTGGCTTCCACTTTCCCGTGCACCCCAAGTCCTGGCTCCACCCGGACGGCTTCCCGATCCTGGGCCTCCCGGACTTCGGGGACCGGCTGTCGGGCGACGGGCGCCCCCTGCCGGGACCCCTGGGGGGCCGGCTCGCCTTGGTGGAGAGCGCCGGGCTGGCCTGCGACCCTTTCGGCGGCGGCGGGCCGGGGAGCGGCGGCGGCGGCGGGCTCCGCGCGTTCGCGCCGGCCGTCGGGGGACTGCTGGCCGAGCCGGCACCCGCCGCGCTGGCGGAGGAGGAGAGCCCGTGGATCTGCTCCGACTGCGGCAAGACTTTCGGGCGCCGCGCGGCGCTGGCCAAGCACCAGCGCTACCACGCGGGCGAGCGGCCGCACCGCTGCGCGGACTGCGGCAAGAGCTTCGTATACGGCTCGCACCTGGCGCGCCACCGCCGCACTCACACCGGCGAGCGGCCCTTCCCGTGCCCCGAGTGCGGCGCGCGCTTTGCCCGCGGCTCGCACCTGGCGGCGCACGTGCGCGGCCATACGGGCGAAAAGCCCTTCGTGTGCGGCGTGTGCGGCGCGGGCTTCAGCCGGCGCGCGCACCTGACGGCGCACGGGCGCGCGCACACGGGCGAGAGGCCCTACGCGTGCGGCGAGTGCGGCCGCCGCTTCGGGCAGAGCGCGGCGCTGACACGGCACCAGTGGGCGCACGCCGAGGAGAAGCCACACCGCTGCCCCGACTGCGGCAAGGGCTTCGGCCACAGCTCGGACTTCAAGCGGCACCGGCGCACGCACACGGGCGAGAAGCCCTTCCGCTGCACCGACTGCGGCCGCGGCTTCGCGCAGCGCTCCAACCTGGCCAAGCACCGGCGCGGCCACACGGGCGAGCGGCCCTTCCCGTGCCCCGAGTGCGGCAAGCGCTTCTCGCAGCGCTCGGTGCTCGTCACGCACCAGCGCACGCACACGGGCGAGCGGCCGTACGCCTGCGCCAACTGCGGCCGCCGCTTCTCGCAGAGCTCGCACCTGCTCACCCACATGAAGACGCACCGCAGCGCGGCGGGCGCGCCCGGCTCGGCGGGCGCGGCTCCCGCGTCTAAGGCCGAGGCGCCCGCCAAGGGGCCGCCAGGGGCGGGCAGCGGGCCCGGGGAGCGCGGCAGCACCCTGCTGGAGTTCGCGGGCGGGACGAGCTTCGGCTCCGAGCCCACGGCCGCCTTCGCGGGGCCCTCGGGCGCCTACGAGGAGAGCATCCTGTGATGGGCCGAGGCCGACGGAGGCGGAGCCCTCTGGGCCGCCGGCCCCTTGCTCCTCTGTCCCCGGGGTGCTGAGGGCCCCAGTCCTGGTGCGGTGCCTTCCCCTCAGCCCCCGGCGCACCGCCCCCACCCCGGCCTTGGGCGCCCCTCCTGCCCGGCCCCGAGGAAACCGGATCGCCAAGCCCGTCCGGCCGTGCAGGGGGCGCGCGGGGAGAGGAGAGCCGCGCGCGGAGGAGGCGAGGGCTGGGGGCGGCTACCCCGACCAAGACTGCGGCATCCCTGGGTCTGTGCTGTGAAGCCAAGCGGTAGGGATGGCGGGCGATGTTATTTATTTCACTCGGATTCCGATTTGGGTGGCCCCGGGGGACCGGCGCCCGATGAGTTTGTGAGCGGGTTGTACAGCGAGGGAGGGGATGCCCTTGCGTCAAGGGGAGGGCGGGGTGGTCGAGGCAGAGCATCCGGCTCCTCCTCCCGTGGGTTTGGCTGACGACTTCTTCCATTCCTCAGTGAGAGACTTCAGGGCCTTCTGGTCATTTGAGTGTGTCCGGGAAGGTTTAGGGACTGCGCGTGGCTAAGGGGAAGCCCTATGGGTTTCCAGAGGACGATGTTCCTCCCTACCCGGGAGGCAGACATGCAGCTGGGAAAGCTTTTATTCTGTCTACTGTGGATATTTATTTCCATCTCTTGTGTGGCCAGAAGAGTCTGGGAGGAGAAAACGTCTGAAACCAAATTTGTGGCCCCAGGCGGGGTTGCAGGTGTTCGCAGGGGCCTGAGGGAGTTTGAAGCCTTGTTCTGGGGGAGAGTCACCCACTCTCCCCACCCCACTTGAGCACCCAGATCAGGCAGGCACTCGTGTTGCCGGGTGGGTTTTGGTCTCAGCCTCCTCTTCGAGCCCTTTGGTCCCCCCTCCCCGACACCCGGAGGCGGCACACTCAGAGATCCTTGCAGGGCTCTTTGATGGTCGCTGCGGCCCCAGCCTTCAGCTGCCTGGGCTGTCACCTCCCCTGGGGCAAGTGGACACACGGGCCCCTGCCCTCTGAGCCCAATGCTTCTTTATAATTAATAACCAACTGTAAAGCGACAGGTCGGCAGCAAATCATTTCTCACATCCCTTTGGGCCTGGGGCCCTTTAACTCTGCTTCTGTCATTATTCTATACTAGAAGCAAGTAGTGTTTCAGTTTAGAATCCCATTTCACAAGATGGACAGTCTGCACAGTGGCAGTCCACCTCTGGGGGGTGTGGACGTGAGCCTGTGGCTCAGTGACAAGCCAGGCACCCAGCTATGCAAGGCCCGCACCTGGTGGGCCCCCCACCCTCCGGGTTGGGCCATTGGGAGCCACTGGGCAGGCAGCTGAAGTGTGGCTCGTGTGAGATCCCTCTCTCCCATCTTGCCTTTTGGGCCAATGTGAGTGGGGCCAGAAAACAGACTCTGAAGCAACTGCATTCCCTTTTAGACCTAGTTCCTTCTGTTTTAGTGTAGGCACGGCCTTGGGGTCTGAGAGCCAGCGGCCAGGCTGCCGGGGCTGGGGGCGGGGTAGGAGGCGCAGTAGTCGGTGGGTGGGGAGGGGGCGTGGACCGAGGTGGTAAGAGATCACCTGGCTGGCGGAGGTGACGGGGTGGGGCGGGGCGACGAGGAGGGCAGGGGTCCCAGGAGGCGTCCGCAATGCTGGGTGATGCCTTCCCTGCCCTCCGTTTCTTTCCTCTCCTTGTGGGACGGGAGCCTCTGGGGCCAAGGGCGAGGCGGACTAGCCCTGCATGGCCGGGGTTCAGCTCCGGGCTCAGCCCTCCCTGCACACCCCTCAGAGTACGTACGTGCGGAGCCCCTCCTGGGCCCCAGCTGCTTCTGCCTGGCCTCGGAGGAGCCATTGGCAGGAGGACCTAGCTTTAATAAAGAGTGGAGACATGAGCTTTCTGACTGGATTCCATGTTGTTGCCGCTCCTCGCTGCCCTCAGGGAGGCTCTCTGCAGCTCTTGGGCCTTTTTTCTCAGAAAAAGAAGAAAAAAGTTTTTTTTAAAGGAGTTTCTCCTTTCAGAAGCTAAAATTGGTCCGTGAGGAATCAGCTCAAGATGCGCTTTGGCCCCTGATGCCTGTGTCTGCCACGTCTTTCTGGGAGTCCCCCAGCCACACTGCCACATACTCTGTAATACACCTATCTTGGAACCTTCTTGTGTTTACGATTGTTTGCTCCAGCCTTCCCGTGGTAAAAGGAGAGGGGCCATGTCCCCTTCCTGGGGGTCCAGGAGTGAGTCGAGTGAATCACAGACATTTCCTCAGAGGCCCCAATGCTTCGTGGGCTTATCCGGGCTCACCTGGTCTGTGTCAGGATGAAGTATGCATCCCCAGGACCCCAAACACCTTCCTCTGAGCTGATTTGTTGACCACCTTCTCACCACACGATGTCCCCACAACCAGCTCTGACCTCCCACCCTCGCCCCCACACATTTGGAAAATATAAACTATTAAGTAGATTCTCTTTCATATGTGATTTGGAAGCATCAGAACCGAACCCAACATTTCAGTTAAAAAAAAAAAAAAGCATTGAGTGGCAAATGGATGTTAAGACCTAAGTTAAAAATTGATAGCCTTGAGGATCTTGGAGTCTATTCAGAAAAGGTAAATTATTCCCTGATTAGGGGCTTACAGACATCCAGCCAAATTCTTTTTTATTTGGGGGATGGGTGGGTGGGGGCCCAATCCTGACGGTGGTAGAAAAAAAGAAAAGAAAGCCCTTCTGGTTTTGAGAGGATTTCTGGATTTCTGGAGTCCCTGATCGATTCCCCTAAGTATCAATTTATCAGCTTTAATCATTGCCAGGGAGTGGAAGCCCCCATGAGATGTGACCCATGAAAGGGGGTACTCTGAGCATTTTGAGCCTCTGAGCAACTCTCTGGCCTCCACCTTCCTTTATTTTCCTGTTTGTCTACTGCTTGCATTTCCCCAATGTCCTTCCTTTCTCCTGACCCTTCCACTTGGTCTCTTCAGACACTTCCCTCTAACTTTTTTTCTTTCTCTAATTGGCCACATATGGAATAAAGTATTTTGAAATTTTTGGTTATATTTATTAAATAAAGCTTTATGATCCTTGTTCATTATTTTTTTTCCCTGATGATAAAACACATGCTAGTTGTCACAATTCCAACAGTACAAAGTGTGTTATGTGCACACATTTCATCTCCTAAAGCATCACAACTACATCCCGCCATCAGGCACCAGCTGACGCAGGAGGGTGTGGGGACACATTTCTTCTGCGTACACAAAAATGTTTCACAACTGAGGACTGCTTTGTGTCCCCTTGCAACTTGCCTTTTTCATTTAACAACATATCAGGACATTTCTTTCCTACTGGACAGAACTACCTCATTTTAACTGGTCCATCATAACATTTCACTTTGTGGGCGCACCACCATTTATGTACCTACATCTCCAACATGGGTATTTGGTTGTTTCCACCTTCTCACGATTACAAATGATGCTGCAATGTAGATTCTTGTACATATTTCTGTGCAGTTTTGTAGATTTTTATCTGTTCAAATGAGAAAAAGTACTAGAGGTGATGTTGCTGGGCCAAAAGGTATGTATGTTTAAAATTTTGGATATAGCTACATTGCCACTGAGAAAGGCTAAGCAGTCCAACAGCATATTCTCCCAGTGCAGGAAGAAAGTGCTGTTGGCCCATGGCCTCACCAACACGGGGCATCCATGATTGTTTTAATCTTTGCTCTTAATTTTATAGAGGTGAATGGCTTGCATTTTTTATTTCTTTTAAACATGTAAATGGGTTATTAAAAGAAACAACAACTCATGGCCTTTGCTAAGGTATTTCTTGGGCTGTCACTATAAAATATCCCCACCCAGCCCAAGTTGATAGCCTTCCTATTTTCTGGTGTGACAAGATCTCTCAGGTTTACCTTGAAAACTTCCTACCCCAAACCTGTAATCAACCAATTCTCCAAGGAGCCAGGAATCCTTTAGTGGGAAATGATATTTAGGGACCACAATTTGGTGCTGGGGTGCTCAATGCTATGAGGCTGATTTTTTTTCCCTAAGGAAAACAATAATTTTCCAGCTTAGAATTCTATATCCAGCCATACTATTCCATCTATGAGAACAAATGATATTTTTAGTATGCAAGAATTCAGAAAATCGATCATCCTGTAACCATTCTTAGGAGGTGTGTCACAGAATGAAAGAATCAACCTAGAAAGAGGAAGATCTGGGATGCAGGAAATAGTGGAGCCAGTCTGGGAGAAGGAGCTGTCCAGGACAACAGTTATGCATCGGTCCAATCTGAGCATGAGGATGGACAGCTTCAGGAAGTAGGTTTCTGTGGAATGGGTGAGACCAGTAGAGTCAGAAATATGCCTGAGACGTTGGACATGGAAGACCGCGGCTGTGGATGAAAGTCAGGCCAGAGGAGAAGAAGGGTCCTTGGTTGGGAAAGCCAGCATGGCGCATCACAGGCCATGAAGTAAACTCTCCAGGCAAGATTTGGGTCGGGGAAGAACCAGGGTCTTGCTTCCACCTGGAGACACACACTGAATGCCGATGCTACTTCCCATAACTGGTGGCTGCAGTTGCCACTGTAAGTCTCCGTGCAATTTTTGCTTTGTAATTTGCTTTTCAATTTTGCAGTTATGTCTTTATTTATATCTGACCACCCTGGACCTACTTATTTAGGTTTTTGTCCTATTGTTCCATAAGCTTAATTCACATCATGCTTTGATTAGTAAATCTGTCGACTTTTCCTTGGCATTAGATTTCTTCCAATTTTGGTTGGGAGCTGTCAGCACAGAGCTTGATGCTGGGCTTGATTTCACAGACCGCAAGATCATGACTTGAGCCAAAGCAGGATGCTCAACCCACTGAGCCACCCAGGAGCAGATTTCTTCCAATTTTGGAAGCGTACTTTGCAGGCAGTTTCATTTTGAGTAGGAGGGTTTTTGTTTGTTTCTTTGACCAGTATTTGGGTTCCAGACTTCCTCCCTCCCTCTCTCACTCTCTCTCACTCTCTCTCTCTCCCCCTCTCCCCTTCCTGTCCAGGAGTCCACCACTTGTTGGTTACCATGGAGGTAAGAAATGTGCCCTCAGCTCCCTGTAATCCACAGGTGGGCAGCCCTTGTTCGAGGCTCTGTTTCACCTAGTGAACCTGCCTTGGGTCCTTTTCTCACCAAAAGCCCTTAAAGTGTCCTTTCCCCCCAGAGCTGAGTCTCCAAACCTAGAGCCCATGAGGCCTTTTCTCTCACCACTCACATTGTTTCTGCTCATTTTTTGGTTCAAAGAGATGTTTGCCCTGCTTTTGGATCCTGGCTCTGTCTTTTTCATTATCTGTTGACAAATGTTGTCCTTCATTGCTATGTGATCAAAACAAGGAGTGTGTTGACTGAGGATTGGCTATGCTACCTCACCCAGATCAATGTCACTTTTATTACTTCCCCTTAATTTTATTCCCTTTATCTCCCCTAGTTGTCCCCTCTGTATCCATCCTCTTCTTCCTTTGCTCTAAGAGGGTTGATGTGCCCCAACGACATTTCCCAGCCTCCTTTGTAGATAGAAGTGCCCAATTAAAATGTAAGGAAAAGATAATTATGGGGGGCTTCCAGGAAAGTTCTTTAAAAGAGCATGATTCAGCTGGGAGGTATATACCTTTTTGCCTTTTGGTTCCCCTTTTCTTGTATCTGAAATGCAGATGTGATGAGTACGGCTCAGCTGTCATCTTGAGAAAATGAAGTCACTTCAAGGGTGGCAGCCACACGCTGAGAATGGCTGAGCAGAAAAGCAGCCAGAGCCTGGGGTCTCCAAGAGCCAGATCAAGGTCGGCTGGGCAGTGGAGATGTAGCCAAGGTCCTGCCCCAGGAACTTTCCAGTTGGGATGACCAGCAGCTGCTGCTGCTGCTGCCAGAAGTAATTTCTCAATAGACCCTCTGTACTTGCATTATTTCCTGAAGATTCAAAATCCCAGAAGGAAGAAAGCATGTGATTGGCTGAGCTTGGGTCAGGGACGTTTCCCAGGTACCAGGAGGTTGAGAATCCCTGGCCCCCTTGGCATCTACAATGGGACACAGGCACTGCCTCCCACTGAGCCCCACACAAAGGATTCCTCCCTGGAGACTCAAAAAACCATGGATAACATCCACTGTGCTCCTGTAGTAACTGATAGATTGGGAGGTCTTTGGCCAGTATCCCTCCCCTTGACCAGGTGAGCTGTGGCTCTTTTTTTTTTATCTACTACCAGAGTGGATGCAAAAGAGAACACAGGGATGGGTTCTGGTCTGGGCAGGCATCCTGCCTTTCCAGGCTTTTTAAAATTCTCCATTATCCAGTCGCTATTGTGCAAATCCTGGGGAACTTCCTTTCTTTGATCCTGGCTGGAGGCACCCTGGGCTCTATCTCCATCTCATCTCGCCATCTGTCCCCAGCTCCCATCCCAAACCTAGCCCTTTACAACACTCAATGCACACAGGCCTGGCTGTAGTGTTCCTTCAATGATTTCCTTTCCAAATGATCAGCCCATTCTTAGAGGGTATGGGCCAGGT